AACAAAGATGGCGCAGCTGATAAACATTAAACAAACAGTAAAAGTTATAAATGTGTTACTCGTTGAAAAATAAAATATAAAAGCACTTTTTAAAAAATATATGATTTGTTTCAGAGTTGGGGGGGTCGACCTAAAGAAGCGCCAACATCTGCCGTCATCCCAGTCGGAGTTTTACCTTCCAGAGGGAAGCCGCTGCGGGGGTAGTTCTGAGCCAGCGTGGGTCGCATCATCCTGGGCACTGACCCCGCCAGCGCAGTCATACCTCCACCACCCCACCGAGCTCACAAACCTCCTCCTGTCACGGAGAAGCTGCGGGGCTTGTAGCTGGAGGAGGAGGGGGGGGGTGCTTCTAATGTCCTCGTGAGAAGTGATCTGAAGCCGCGGCCGCGCCCGGGCTACACCCGAGCAGCAGCGTCACGGGACGGCACAAAGTCCTTCAGAAGACAAACGCGCCCATCAAAATGCCAGAAACGGGATTCAGAGGCGTAGAAGAAGTCGGTTTATCTGCGCCTTTTTGTTTCAAAGGCTTTTAAGAACCCGCGGCTGTTCGAGGAGGCGCAGCTGCATTCCAGCCGGCTGGTTGTTTGTTGACACCGGCTCAAAGTGAAGACGCGGCGGTCAAAAGTAAAAGCAGCTCCTCTCCGCCCCCCCACTCAGCGCTCCGAGCTGTGATTAGTCGAGCGGATGCGCACGCGGCGCAGCGCGGACGCGACTATTGGCCGAGGCCTAAAACTTTGAACCAATCAAAATCGAGCTCGCTGCTCAGCTCCGACAGAACAGAGAGCTCGATTCACAAAAAAAAGGTCTATGAACCACAGATGTTTACGGCATACAATGATACCAAACACTTAAATATACAGTTTATTAACCCTGCTGCTTGGAAATAGAGACAAAAGACAAATAAGGATAAATATTTGAATAATATATATATTTTGGTCAACGCTTATTTGGTGTTTATGACGGTTCTCGCGTTTTCCATTAATTTATGGAATAGTCATTCTTTTTCATCCAACTTTTAATAAAAGCAATAATTTATAAAGGATCAACATATTTAACAAGTTGATCACATACTGACAGAAAACACCACCTCACATTTATCATTGACACATAAATCTCAATTCTTTCTAACCTTTGCTCCAAATAATTCCTGGAATATTTTTGTTTGATCATGTATGGTTACAGCCTGGTTAATTAAACAAAGTTTTTAAACTGCACCGCAAATGTTTTTTTTTTTTTTGTCACAACATTAGAAACAGTTTTTTACACAATTTGAGTCACATGAAACAGAGAGAACATTTTTTAGTTTGCTTCAGTTACGTCATGTTTTGGTTTCGTAACGTTTTATGCTTCCATGTACCATTTTTCAGCTCCCATCAGCAGGTACCAGCCTGTGCGTAAAATCATTCCCAAAGTATTTAACGCGGACGCGTGCTCGCTCATGACCTCCAATTTGTGCCCCCCCTCCGTGGACTCACATATGACACAAATGGAGATAAAGAGTGTGCGCTTCAAGGAATTTATTGTGGCTTTTCAGACTGTGCAGCAAACTGATGGGTGGGGGTGGGGGGGGCACAGCAGGACACGACGCCAAGCTGCTCGAAGTGCAACAGGAGGGCGCAGCTCCATCTCCTAAATATCTAATAAACCATGATAACACAAGTCAAGGGAGCTCAGCTCGTCTTTTCTTCCGGGGTGGGGGGGTCACAGCATCCTTTACCAACGGAATCACTCCGCTCCTGTGGATTGGACAGAAATAATTCATTTCTTTCACCGAAAACTAACTTATTTTTTTTAAGGAAGCAAACTTGAGCAGCGTGCAAAAGTTCATATGAACCATATATCTTTTTAAACACAAACGTTTTGTTTCTGGACTTTGACTTCATAACAGTTTAGAATATAAAAAAATCAGTCGTAGATATTTTCATAATGAGCTCAGTCGTGCGTAAAAGTCTAAACCGCTCGTTTATCCTGCAAAACGAAGCACCACGAGCACCTGCTCATCCTTCTCTCACTGCTCCATGGTGGTGGGTTTATTTAGGACAGAGAAATGTACCCCACGGGTTAGGTCAGCAGTCTCTTTGTAACTCTAAACGTTTGTTTATTTATTTATTTATTGTTTGGCTGAGAGGGACGTGCGCGAAAATTAGAGTTAGAAGCTACAAATACCCAGGTCTAACGGGGGTCTTTCACCTGCTGTGGGGGGCCGTCATTAAACTTGTATCTTCGTGGTGTGTGTGTGTGTGTGTGTGTGTGTGTGTGTGTGTGTGTGTGTGTGTGTGTGTGTGTG